GTGTAAAATTATATTTAGCTTATTTTTGTGAATTTGGTGTGCCATTAACACAATCGTATTCTAAAACATACCCAGAATCATTAGGGTTTTTTTTTTATTAAGGCAAAGGCTTCTATAGTTGTGGCAGAATTAAAAACTCGTCTCTGTTAATTAATCCCTCAAACGTATTTTCTCCACTTGATATTGTAGATTGAGAACGACGAGTAATGAATCTGTCGATGTATACTAATTAGGAGACTATTTATAGCATAACAGTTTATATAACAAAGCAATAGAAATTATGTTTCCTTATGTAGAAATTTTTATGAATGTTACATGCACTATTAAAAGGCTTACGATACAGGAAGATTTTAGCTGTGTGAAATTGTCACAGGAAGGGCGGGAGGACTCACTGTTAATTTCACTACAACGCTTCGAATGTATAGTGCTCTGCTATACATGAATGTAATAATGCGGAGTACAGGTTGCTTCCAAAAGTACAGGAAAAGTGATTAGCTTCATGGTGTCCGCGTGGTGAAGACACAGACTCTAGATTTCGAGTTACAAAGATATTCTCTAGAGGCGTTTACAAAGGCAATAAGCCTGTTCTTTATTACGACCGCCTACAAAGAATGCACTATAACCGAACAAATTTACTGCATAGAACCGCGTTTGCTCTCTCTCTCTCTCTCTCTCTCTCTCTCTCTCTCTCTCTGAAGCTCAATTCTTTGATATCAATTGCTATAGAAACTTGCGTTGAACCCTATTTAAAATGTATGGAAATGTTGAAAATGAAATCAGAAACTGTCGATATCCAATTAGCTAAATTAATATACTTCTAAAGAGTTTTCTGCCCCCGATCACCCTATGAAATAGGACTTTCGCTCTCGGCCATTCTTCTCGATGAGGACCCCTACTTTTTGAAAAGATTCTTGTATCTGCCCTTGCATGGTAAAGACATCAGTTTAAAACTTTGAATGAAGGTTTGTCCTTGAGAATGCTTTCATGCAAGGATCCAACTTTGGGCAGATCATTTTAATAACTGAAGTATGTGTGGAATCAAAAGTTAAAAGTCCATTTTAAAAAGATCATCCTCATATCCTCGTCAAGGGTCCTTTATCCTAAAACTGTGCTTGAACACAGGACCCGACGTTGTGAAGATGACTTTAGATTAAAACAAGATGTGTTCGTGAAACACTGATGCCCCCTTATGGCGAAGGTTAAAGTTTCTCAAATGTAAGTCCAACTTCAAGGTCAAGAGATCGAAAACGTTGTTACCCAAATAAAGGAATTGTGTCCATGGATATACCTGGTAAATATGAAAGCCCAAGTACCAACCATTCAGATGTTATGGTCAAGCTTAATGTTTTCTAAAAGTGTGTCAAACTCCATGGTCAAGGGGTCAAAATTAATGGTACGCAGGGGAAGACCTTGTCATAAAGAATACACATGCCAAATATAAAAGCCCTAGCACCAACTGTTCAAAAGTTATGGCGTTAAAGTTTTTCAAAAGTAGGTCAAACTTCAAGGTCAAGGTCAAATTTGGTATCCAAAGGAAAGCCTTGTCGACGTCACACTGAATATACCTGTGAAATTTGAAAGCCCTAGTACTAACTGTTCAAAAGTTATGGCCAAGGTTAAAGATTTTTAAAAGTAAGTCAAACTCTAAGATCAAGGTCAAAAATATTTATACCCATGGAAAGGCCTTGTCACGATAGATATTTATGTGAAATATGAAAGCCCTAACATCAACTGTTCAAAAGCTATGGCCAAGGTTTAATTTGAGTAATTTTTTGCAAAAATGGGTCAAACGTCAAGGTAAGAGGTCAAATATGTTGGTACCCAAAGGAAGGTCTTGTCACAAAAAATACACTTGTGAAATGTGAAAGCCATAGCTCCAACCATTCAAAACTTATGGGCAATGTTAAAGTTTTTGCGGAAAAGCAGACAGACGGGCGGACAGGGCAAAAGCTATATACCCCCGAATCTTCAATTACGGTACCATTTACAAATCTTACTATAGTGCTACAAAGGAGTCTGCAAAAAAGTGTCCAACACTATTGCCTATATAAACCAATATCCAGCTTTATTCGCCAGCCATCCCAGAAAGATTCGTAGTCAACTAACCCCGTATTTCTGAAGTATTGGAAGTATATCACACCAGTAGGGAATTGAAAAAAAATTAGATTCATGATGAACATTTCTGTGGCTAAAAATTTACACAATGTAGTGATCAAAGTACCTTAGGTAAAGTTGAATGAATTCTGTCAGCTATTTGTATCAAATAATAGAAGAGAACAAGATAATATCTCTCTGTACAAATATTACGATGCGATCCTCTCCTTCACGTTATACACGTAATTTATGGAACAAAGTTACAACTAAAAAATCTAGCACTCCAACAAATATATATTCCAGAAGTGGTGTAAATCAAATGTGGCTGCTTTTTCAATAAAAATGGAACTCCTAAATATACTTACCTTGGCACTGGTGGTTTGCAAAATTATTTTGTGAAAAACATTCTGATTGTACACATAAGATGACATTAAAAAGATGCTTGAATTTCTGATTGACAATATCTATGTAGTTTTTTGAGATCAGACTTCCAATAATCTGTTGGAATACGCGTGGGTACCAATTGCGCCCCGCTATAAGCATACCTATTTTTATATTTATATGAAGCAGAATTTATTCTACATGAGAAGAAGAAAACACTTGCTGTGACCTTCAACTCGACATTTAGATATATCGACGGCGTATTATTAATTAACAATAGTTACTTCCATTTATATGTCGATTCGATATATCCCAGTGAACTCGAAATAAAAGACACCACAGAGTCTGACACATCTGTTTTATATTTGGATATTTTACTGGAAAAGGACGGTAATGGTAACCTAACAACAAAACTTTATGATAAACGTGATGACTTCTACTTTTCTATTGTCAACTTTCCTTACTTATGTAGTAACATACCCTTATTACCTGGGATTTATGTCTCTCAGTTGATTCAAAATGCAAGTTCATGCTCTAACGTACGATCATTTTTTAAAACAAAGCAAGCTATTAACCAAAAAGTTGATGAAACAAGGATATCAACAGTCTCCTTTGAAGTCATCATTTTGCAAGTTCTATGGTCGATACAATGACCTTATCAGCAAATACAATCTATCATTACGTCAAATGATGACTGATGCTTTTCATACTATTTGTTAGGCCATTATTAACACTGAAATTTATACTGAGTTTTCCGTTTACCCGATCGTGACAAGGAGCACACGGCGGGTGTGACCGTCGATAGGGAATGCTTATTCGTCCATGGCACATGATTCCACCTCTGATGTTTTTGGAGGTCAGTGTTTGCTCTGTATTGTTCAAATGGACTATGAGCTTGAATACTGTTCGTTTCCTCCATATTTACACACAAACACACATTTATTATCAGATATTTATTATTATGAACATGGCCGTAGGAACCGAGGGAGGGGGCACAATAAATTTGCCGATATAAAGATCACTATAAAACTTTTTTTTTTGCTTGCCAAGGATTTTATGGTAATTGATAGTGCCCCCCCCCCCCAAGCTGAAAATGCATGGCCGTCCCCCCAAACTGAAATTACTTCCTACGGACCTGACGAATAAATGACAATGAAGCTGATTTCTGATTTAACTTAACCTGGAGAGAAAAAATATTCAATTATATAATCCGTTTCAGTGATATGCCTATATTTTCACGTGTAATTTAGTAGCAAAAAGATCCTCTACGTATCTGATATTCTCTGTTTTCTTTCTTTCAGGTCATTGTATTGCACGTTGATCTGACTCTTTAGTAAACTCCTTACTTTACAGGTACCCCAAGAATACGTTACATTCCCCCTCCATTCACAAGTCAATCACCTGTATTTTCCCTCTCTGAAATAGGTTGTACCTGGTTTGAGCTCAATTACTATGAAACATCCTCTGTCTATCACCGAACTCACATATATTTGTTTTCCAAAAGGAATTTGATAATATGATATGAAGTATTCTACTGTCAATATCAAAGTACTCAGGAGTACAGAGAGCCGGGCTTATTTACAAAGCTGATTTTTTTCACATGAGCCATACCTGTACATTGTATTAACAGCTAAATAATGATCTCTGCAGACATTGGAAGGATATGTACAAACAATTATAATAATAATAATAATAATAATAAAAATAAGGGTTCAATGACATCTTATTTGAAAATAATTGTTAGAAATCTTATGAAAAATTTATTTTAAAATATCAAAATAAATGATAAACCAATTAGTTTTTGGGACCTAAAACCACAGTCCGAATTTATCAGGGTCAGAGTTAACTTGGCACCACCGAATGTATCTGGTTCCCTCTCCTGCTTTTCTCCGTCTTTGTAGAGAACTAGGCTACGACAACATTAACTATTAAAAAAAATTACGCAGATGAACTATAGTGTTTGACTTTGGACTGAAGTTTTCAAAGTCATTACTACTGATGTTTATTTGTATAGATAAAACTTCGTTTCATTTTTGTTGCTTTATTTAGCATTTGTATTATCTCAAAAGTGGTTGAGAGTAAGTACTATATTTTTACACGTAACTTTAATTTGGCGACTATGGGGTCAACACTTCCTGCATTGAACAGGCTGACAATAGCCGGCAATTGCTCTTTGAGCAATAAGCCCGGCTAAAAATTATCTCTCAATTTTTCATGGTGTAAACCAGTGAAACTAGTAATTTAATTTCCAAACTAACTTTGTGTCATGGTGCGGTACTTTTTCCTTTGATGTTAGCCATACTTTAAATGAGATAGAAAACCTTTGGCTGAATTCCAGCATACCATAACTTCTAGGAGGCGGAGCTTAGCTGTTCAATAACTTCCACTGTACTGTACTATAACTTCCCAATTATGAAATTTCAAAACACCCTTTCTTGGTTGAATTAATTTTATTTTGTAAACACACAAAATTTAATCAAAGATTAGAATGACAAAATCATACCATATATTCAAAACCCATCAACTAAAACCTAACAGCGCTGTACTTGCATGCATGTAAAATGTTAATTAATTAAGAACATTGCATAAAGCAAACTTAAGAAATATAGGAATTATTCCAATTCAATTGAAATTGAAAGAAAATTGACAATTTTGAAACAGAGCCTTTTCAGTAATTTCCGAGAGAACACTCCTGTTTCCTGGGCTTCTTGTGCTACGAGAAGTAGAATTATTAGAACATTTCGCATCAAATTCCATGGGTTCGTCTTCAGCGGCTGTAGCGAGATTTAAAGAACAAGTCGGTGGTTCAACTTTGATCTTCTTTGGTGCAGGCGGATCCAATACGGAACTAACTGTTTCAAGTATTTTATCAGACGATCTCTTGTACTTTCGGACAGCTTTCTCCGAGCGATGACCTGTACGAGCCATTATCTCTTGCTCATCAATTCCGGACAAGTACATCTGAGTTGCGCAGGTTCTCTTACCAGAGTGGTTTGTAAAGTTGCCTGTTAAACCACCAGCCGCGCACATTTCCTTCATCATCGACTTGAGCTTGTTAATTCCAAGTGCTTGAGTACCATATCGGATCTCGGGACCAGGTAAAGGCTTTCGGTAAAAGAATCCATTGTTGCCCAATGTTGTCAGATACAAATCGAAAATTCCATAAAGACTTCGATCCCCTGTAAAAGAGTAACAGTAATGTAATAACGGAAAACCACGTTTGACTCATTGGCGTCAGAAACAAATTGAAAAGGGGGGGGGGGTAATTTAAATTGTCCAAACCCGAAAATCCTATTTCGTGGGGGGGGGGGGGGGGGTTAAGATCGAAGTTCTTTCAAAACCATTATTTTTTTCCATATGTTACCACTTACCCTTCTTTGACTATACTGGGGGGGGGGGGGGAGCGACCGGCTTTTCAATGAACATTTTGTTGCTACGTGCCTGTTGAAGGGGGGGGGGGGCTCAACCAACAAAAAAAAAGTTTGGAGACTACACCCCAATGTTCAATGCCTATATTATGTCTATCTTTGTAAACAAAAAGCCGTGGGGGTGGGGGGTGGGGCTGCTAAGTCCCCCCCCCCGGTTTGGACGCCTATGTGACTTTGACCCTAAACCTATGATTTATAGATCTATGGACATGATTATTTAAAAAAAACATAAAAAAATATACATATTCTTGTACAGTAAATACAAAATTAATGTAGAAGTTATTTGATCAGATGACTTACCTGGCTGACAGTAATGCTTTATGTTTTTGTTGCTCAGTTGCATTTGACGTAGTCCTCCCTGGTACGTCTTGTTCTGTCTGCCCACAAACTGAATGAATTTCCCCTGTGCGTCAGACCCAAGTTTGAACTGTTCGCACATGAGCTGACGATGTTCATCACATCCACGAAGCCCAAACACTCTACAGGCATAGAAGAAAACTGTGTTTTGTAAGGAAATGGCAGAATTTTGCCCCAGCACACCTTTTTCCCATAGAATATCTTCTTGTTCTGGCAGTATTGGGTCGGCCTGTCGCACAGTCGTTCCTATCCCCTGGGCTACGAGGCTTTTCATTCGGGCGTCGAGTACTTTACGTGTCCGTGCAAATCTATTGTCATTATGGTCAAGAAAGTTCATTCCAAATATTTCAATATCACGCAAATGTCGCAGCAAACCACACATAAGATAATATAACGATTTGGGCGTGTATTCATTCCCCTTTTGATTGCGAACCTCAACGACAAATCTTTGCAACCAATAGTCCATACAAGTAGCGTCCATTGCAGAAAATTCTGGAATAAACTCACCGGTATTCGACGAAAGTTTATTTCTCTCCTCCCGCCACTTTCTCCAAACGCCTACTGCCCACCTCGTGTTTGATTTGGTATTCTTACACTCCTGATCCTCCGTGAGAAGCTTTATTTCCTTATCGGTTATAGGTCTTGCAAACCTCCCCTGTGGTTCGGGGGTTTCTGGGGGTGGCTCAGTTTTAAGAACTTCTTCTTGTTCTCCGAAAAGAAATCCGAAATCAAAATCTCCGATACACATGTCGTTTATTCCTTCCAATGCGCACTCCTCATTTTCAATAACTTCACATATTTGTGATAGAGTTATATCGTCTAAATCACTTTGTAAAAAATCAATCTCATCTAGCTCCATCTTGGTCTAACTTTCGGCGCAGTTTGACATTGTGCATTTAGGATGGACTTATGACGTCATGTCGCGTGCAGTTTGGTGCTTCAAAGAACACATAGAAACACAAACTTTGCATATTTATAAATAGATTTTATATACAATTTACTTCAATATTTAATGAATATTCAAATGACCATGACACAAGTCATTTACAGATATTTTGTTTCGTTTGTAAGGAATTTATTATACAGAGAGGCGTGGCCGTCTCGTCGCTGCGCGACTCGACGGCCACGCCTCTCTGTACAATAAATCCCTTACAAACGAAACAAAATACTGTAAATATAACTTATAGTAATCTTGCAAGTCTGTTAATAAAATTTATCATGTCGCCGTTATGTTCTGGGATGAAATAAATTTCCAGTATTATATATCTGATTACATTAACAATAACCGTTTGTCTGTCATGGACACTACGGAAAATGTATCAGGACCTACTGGTTGTTAAACTATGCATGCCTCTATAATATTACCGATATTTCCGTGTTTGACTCTCTCAAAGCATGTAGAATTTGATATGGTATATGGATATCACTGGTATAGTACTATAGTAATCACACTTTCTCTCCGATTAAAAAGTGAACTTAAAGCCTTACTGTAACTCTGTAATCTTTTTCAACTCTCTCTCTCTCTTAGTTACAGAAAACGGTCGTTTCCATTTAGTTAGCAACTTTTTTGCTCGTTGCTAGAAAAATAAGTGCTAAGTGTTGCAATCTAAACCCATTCTGATCTTTGGTGACCACCTTATTTTATCAATTCATAACTAAGATCGACAATTTCGCGAGTGTTTCTTTGTTTAAATGATCTAGCTGAGTACTCATAGTTGCATTTGACGATTATTTATCAACACAATTCTTCAAATTTAGCGGATATTGATACTAGCAGTCCTGACTTTGTAGATATATCTCATGAATCAGATTGCGTATGCTTTAAATCTTTCCAAAAGTATATTGGTTTGGAAAAAATAATGGGTAGTACCGACTTCTCTGGTCCTATTAATGGTCCATCTATATCTACATATCACGAACCTATGACTATCTACTTCTCGACAAAATGGTAAAACAGTATGTAAAAGATTAATATTTATTGTTGTTAAAACTCATTTTTATCAAGTAATTTTCCCTTCGGAATGAAATCTGTACATACGATACGTCAGGCAAATTTTCTTGTGCAACATTCCAAGAATTCCTTCACTACCAGGGTTCCATGCGAAATTATTACAAAACATACAAAAGACCAAGGATAATTGTTCCTTACCAAGAGATACGTTTACTTTCATTTCTTTGCAGAGAGCTTGAAAGAAACAAAACTCAATTGCATCTACTCTACTACGTATTTCATTTAATTTTGCACAAGAAATGTAGTCTCGTTCAACCAGACGTTCGGCTATCTCCGTAAATTCCGACGTCATGTGACGTCACAGGCTAGACTGTGTCTCGTGCTGTTTGAAGCTTGAAGAGGCGGATCTACGTTACACTGTGTATATAGGTTTTTGATGGTAATACAACTGCGCTCGCCATAACGGTCACACCGTAAAACATATAATTCTAACTTCAATACTGTATTAGTCAAGTTTCTTCATTTTCAATAATCAAAAACATCCTTATAGTTCACATCCTTGTTACTTTAGTTTTCAACTAACTTGCAATCGATCGTCATAGACCTATATGTGACGTCATTCATTGACTGAATGAGTAGAAACTGCCGACTTTTTAATAACCTATAATGATTGATATTTTATATGCGTAGTCTCCTTTTAAAAACAAATTTATTTAACTTTTAATAAACCATGCTTTGTTTTAGAGAAATAAAAAAAACTTGGTTTCACGAATTCCAGTGACGTCACTGTCTAGATTGCGCACTATGCACTGAATGACGTCACATGGCGGGTCTATGATGATCGAGTTCAAGTTAGTTGAAAACGAAGGTAACAACTTGTTACAAGGGTATGTACTACACGGGTGTTTTTGATTGTTGGAAATGTCCTGTGAGAGGGCCCCGCCCTCTATAAATACAGCCTCTATTGAAGATCTTTTGAGGATAAATAATATAGGTAAATCAAGAGGACAGTCAATTGTAGATGCAAGATTAAATAAGGGAACCCTTACATTAAAAGACCTAAAGGTAATCCATAGTATCTGAAGTAGTATATGGGATCCTTTTTTCCATGAGGGTAAGATAATTGTCCCTTCAAGGTTAAGAAGTACTTTGTCCACACAGATCACTGGACAGTTAGAAAAATCACAAGACAGATCACAAGTTCAAACAGAATCAATATAACATGTGCAAACACTGCAAGACAGTCACAAGAAAGCTTATTTCAGCAAATAGAATTCTTACAAAGAGGGTTAGGAGAGAAAGAACATAAGATCAGAGATAGCTGAGGAAAATGTGATCATGGAGAGAAGAAGGAAAGAAGGGAAAAGAACAATTGTTACAAGAGAAAATTATCTGTCTTGAAAAGAGTGCATGAAGAAGATGTTTCAATGTTACAAAGAAGTTTGGTCGTGAATAGAGAGAAGTATGATAGTATGAAGATCTGCAAAAGAAAGTTAATTTGAGAGAACAAGAACTAAATGATCAGTATGAGAGATTTGATGAAAACAAACAAAAACTTCGAGCATTAGAAGAGCAAGAGCGTGCTGAAAGGGAAGAACATTTAAGATCAAAAATAAAAGAAATGGATGAAAGCGAGAGAGAAATTGTGGGGAAAGATTGATTGATTGTACGTTGTTTGAGAATTTTTCACTCATATAGAGACGTCATCATACACCGGTGAAGGACTTCAAATTTAGACCTTTACTCGGCACTCAGGGCCATTGAGCAGTGAGGGATCTTTTTCGTGCCAACGCCTACCGTGACACGGGGCCTCGGTTTTTAAGGTCTCATCCGAAGGACCCGCAACTTTCATTTCATAGTGCCGAGCACTTGGCGAAGGAACAGTTGCTACCTGTTTTTTGCTTCTTTTTTTTTAATCGACTTAGGTCAGTCGATAAAAATCACGGGTCACTCTGGATAAAGACCGCAAACTCTGGACCAGGCAATCAATTACATGAAGAGTTCTATCACTAATCAAAAATTAAAAATGGGCCCAAAGAAGGAGATCAAAAACATTACATTTGAGAATATAAGTTATATTTACAGTACTTTCTTTCGTTTGTAATGGATTTATTGTACAGAGAGGCGTGGCAGTCGAGTCGCGCAGCGACGAGACTGTCACGCCTCTCTGTACAATAAATTCCTTACAAACGAAAGTGTCTGTAAATGTCTTGTGTCATGGTCATTAGCATAGTCACTCCTTCAGCACCAAACTGCTCGCGACATTACGTCATAAGCCTAGGTCCATCGTAAGCACGTACACCGGGGTGTTCAAACAAAGCAGAAAGTACAAAAGAGATGGTTGCATTGAAAAATCAAGCAATGTTAAACGAGTGTGCAATTGTATTTGATGGGTTAATTTAAGCAGTATGAGTATTTCAAAAACCATAACAAATACAGGCACAATACTGGAAACCTGGATCCGCCTGCACTATGAGCCTCTACATTACTGTTGATATGGATACGCCTGCATGTCCTGAGGAAATCCGAGTCAAGTACTCTAGCCACAGGTATCAAAATTATGGAATGTAGTGTGAAATAGTCCAAATACATGTATATACGAACATGTATCAGTTTGAATGTAACGCAAAGACCTCAGAAAACAGTTGCTATTAAGGGAATCAAACTGTGCGTTTTCAATATTGTTAGATTTAAGTTATCTGTTTTAATTTGAATACATGTATTTCGTGAAATTCTGTGTATTTTTAAAATTTTTGTTTAAATTAGTTAACTAATGACTTTACATGTATTAATCCTCTTGAAAATGGTTTTCACGTATATGCATTTTCAGATTGAAGAGGGGGGGGGGGGTGTTGAATTATGTGAGGTTTCTCATTTTTCCTCTGGATAGTTTTATATGCTTACAGAAATTGAAGAAAAAATATTCAAAAAGTATTGAGTTCTTTTGGAAGTTATTGTACAGTATATTGGAAGTTATTGTACGGCTAAGCTCCGCCCCCTAGAAGTTACAGTACGTTGGAATTCAGCCAGAGGTTTTCTATCTGATTTAAAGTATGGCTAACATCAAAAGAAAAAGTACCGCACCATGACACAAAATCTAATAATTGTACGTCCAAAGACTTCCATATCCGAATGACAAGGAGCCCATCACCACCAAAGCCAATTCTTCTTCCTTCATTAGAATCAAGAAATTAACTTTACAAAAAGAGATAGAGAAACAACTAGACTGCTCAAGGAAATTTTAAAAGTTTTGCCCATTCCAGATGAGGAAAGACAATCCAGACCAAGATACCAATGACCAAAAAGAGCACCTATACTAACATCTAGGTATACATTACCGTAGAGATCATTTAACTCGTTAAGACCTTCAATACGCTTCACCAGGAAGATCCCCATCAAATTGTCAGTAAGATCAGAAAGTGAGAGTGAATGCTGTGTATGTGGTAGAATATGACATTTTGCCAGAAAATGTTGGAGATCAAAATCATCTTCTCAAAATAACTCTCTTAATTTTTATGAGAATCACCCTACTATCCTGGTTTTTCATTTTCAGATTTTTTTTTTTAAATATGATCCTTTTATTAATT